TGGGGGGGGGGGGGGCTGCCCCGTGAAGGCAGTGCCAGGCTGTCCACACAGCGGTTGTGCCCACCTCCGCCATCCCTCCGCCCCACCAGGCCCACATGCTCTGCTGCGGCCCCTCCTCTAGCCTCTCCTCTGGGCTTCCTGGGGTGCAGCAGGCTGAGCCTGGGTTGTACCTGTGCTGCACATGCACTCTGCCTCCAGCACCTCCACCTTCCTGCCCTGCCTAGTGGCTCTTGGCTTCACCTCCCTGAGCCACAATGGACCCTATGCTCCATGAAGGGAGGGCAGAGCCTGTCTTGTCTGTACCTGTTTTGTCTGTACCAGCTCTGTATCCAGGCACCAACCCCAGTAGCAGCATGAATGGTTAGGCGGGTGGGCAGTGCTGTGCCCAGGGTCATCCTTCTCTTCTCATGCCACCCATCTGTCCCTCTGCCTGTCCTGCAGTGGCCTGGGCTGTGGAGCAGGCCCACTTTGCCCTGTTCTTCAATCAGGGCCAGTGCTGTTGTGCCGGCTCTCGGACCTATGTACAGGAGGATGTGTATGCTGAGTTCGTGGAGCGGAGCGTGGCCCGGGCCAAGTCACGGGTGGTCGGGAACCCCTTTGACAGCCAGACTGAGCAGGGGCCCCAGGTAAGATGGGCATCTGCAGGGTGGGTCTGGGCATCTGGAGCCAGCATGGAGAAGCAGAAAGGCCATCAGACTCAGAGTCAGGTGGGACTGGGTTGAAGTATCCGCTCAGCTGTGTGGCCTGAGAAGCCATGTTCCCTCTCTGAGCCCCACTTTCCTCACCCCTGAGGCCTGCCCTTCTTCATTCACATGTTACATACATGCAATTTATGTAACCTGTTTCCTGTGGTAAATTTGCACTGTCTTGTCTGTACCTGTCATTACCTACCAGAAGGACACCCAGATCTGCTCACAGTGGTGGTCTCCAGAGAGTGGGGCTGAGGGCCATGGTATGGTTAGGATAGAGACTTTATTCTACCACTTGATACTCATCTGAGTTTTTCTTTTCTTTTCTTTTTTTAACATGAACATGTATTTTTTAAAAAGAATTATTTTATTTAACTTTATTTATTTTCATCTGACCAGAGAGGAAGAGAAAAAGAGAGAGAGGAAGCAAGCCACCAGGTCTGGGACTTAAACTGCTCAACCATGTGGGTGTCCAGTACCCCTAACCACCATGCCACCTGCTGGCCCCATGAACATGTATTTCTTTTAACCAAGAAAACTATAGTTGGAGAGCCAGCAGGTGGCGTGGGTGCTTAGGTTGTTGGACTCCCACCTGGCCTACTGCATTTTGAGTCCTGGACCTGGTGGCTTGCTTTCTCACTTTCCCTTTCTCTCTCTCTCTCTCTGGTCAAATTTAAATAATAAATAATAATGACAAAAAAAAAAAAAAAAAAAAACGTAGTCAATAGAGTATGATGAAGGGCTGGCCCCATAGCTTACTAGTTAAGGGAGCTGGATCCCCCATGGCCAACTGAGGTTTGAATACCAGCCCTGGCAACTTGCAAAAGATGCTGGGTACATGTGCATACATGTCTAAAATCTCACCAAGGTGGAAAATGGAGAAGGGACTGCAGTGTGACCATTCCGCCTCTGGGGGTATTTCTCCCTCTCCCCATCTCTCTGTCTCCCTTTGGCAAATGTACATGTCCTCTAGCAATTAAAAAAAAAGAAGAATTATGATGAAAGTAAATACAGTGCCTGTTACCACCTGGCTCCTCACATGCTGGTCCTTATGCCAGCACGGGCCTTAGACCCAGGCTCACTCTCTCTAGACCTGCACTGGCTTCCTCTAGCCACACACCTCTGAGCGTCAAGGAACCCACAGGGAAGGAGTGTCCTTGCCCTGGCTCTCTGCTGCCCTCTCTGGTTGTCACCCTGGGTCCTACCTCCAGGCCCTATGGAACCCTTGGCTGGGCTCCATCCTCCAGAGGGTAGTCTGGCTGCTGGTGTCCACTCCCTAGGCTCCAGGGTTAATCAGGACATGCTCTCCCCTGCTTTTTAAAAAAATTAATATACAGTAGTTTTATCAGTTTTAGGTTCACAGAAAAAATGAGTGAAAAGTACAGAGTGCCCACGTCCTCCCTGTCCCTTTTATTTACTTATTTATTTATTTATTTATTTATTTTTTGAGGGGGTTTTGCTATAGGGCGTGTGAACTCGCTGGAAAGACAGAGACAGAGAGACAGAAAGCGAGAAATCTTCCCCCAGGGGGGATGGCCATGCCACAATCCCTTCTCCTCCATTCTCCTCTCCGGATCTTGGGCATGCATGCACATGTGCCTGGTGTGAGTTTTAAGCCACCGGGTCTGGA